TCGAACCCAAAACCTCGGTGTATCAGGACAATGCGCTAACCCACTGAGCTACCGGGCCAGGGCTGAAACGTAGCATTTCTGACAACTGTGAATACAGAGAATGAATGACAATAGCCTTAAGTCTTTACTTTGTCACCAACAGGCATATATTCTCAGAACAGGTTACAGTTCAAGGGGGTTCTGTTGACCCTTATCCCTGCTTTGAAAAGGCAGAAGTTACTAGAATCTCTCTAGAGCCCACCAATGGAAGTATTGTCAAAGAAGCATGTGTTTGTGACTCAGTTAGAATTCTTGAAACATTTGATCGTTATTTTAACATCACTGGGCTTTTGTGTCATCCTATGTATTATTTTATGTACTTCATTTTATGCATCTAAAAACAATATCCACTAAATTGGCAAAGAAGATCTGAGGCCAAAAATGGCTACAAATCCCCTCCCTCATCATTTACCCCAGTCTTCTCCTCTGAGTTTGGAGATAAAAGTCCCTGTCCCCCAACATGACTGGGAGAATCACGCTCGATACTGCGCATAACCACCGCCATGCCAAATGCAAGGTGTTTTCAGTGTTCAGAGGATGTGCACTGAACAGGACATTGCAAATGGAAAAACATAGCAACAGCTCACATGCATTAATCTGCCAGGGCGGCTGTGAAAGCTCAGGCTGGGTGGTTTAAACCACAGAAATGTATTTTCTCACAGTCCCAGAGCCTGGAAGTTGAACAAGGTGTGGGCAGGGCCACGTTCTCCCAAGTCAGCTACTAGACTTTGCTTGTAGACAACCTCCTTCCGGTGTCCTCTCCCAAACGCCCCTCTGGGCCTGTCCGTGTACTAGTCTCTGTCCATGCATTTTTGTTGTTGTTGTTGTTCATCCTCACCTGAGGATATTTTTCCATTGATTTTCAGAGAGAGTGGAAGGGAGGAAGGGAGAAAGAGAGAGAGAGAGAGAGACATGGATGTGAGAGAGACATATCAATTGGTTGCCTCCTGCATGACCCTGGCCGGGGCTGGGGTTTGAACCTGCAATCCAGGTACACGCCCTTGACCGGAATCGAACCCGAGACCCTTCAGTCCTCGGGCCGACACTCTAAGCGCTGAGCCCAACTGGCCAGGGCTCTACCTATGTAGTTTTACAGAACAACTTAGCACATAGAACAGAGTTTCCGTATTATACCCCCCCCCCCCGCCCAGTTCCCATTAATGGTTAACATCTTTGCTAGGTGTGGTGCATTTGTTACAATTAATAAACCAGTATTGCCCTGGCTGGGCAGCTCAGTTGGTTAGACATCATTCTGATAGGACAAGGTTGTGGGTTCAATCTCTGATCAGGGCAAATAAATACAAGAATCTAGATTCTAGTAACATCTGCCTTTTCAAAGCAGGGATAAGGGTCAACAGAACCCCCTTGAACTGTAACCTGTTCTGAGAATATATGCCTGTTGGTGACAAATTAAAGACAATAATTACATAAATAAGTGGAACAACAAATTGATGTTTTCCTCTCTCTCCCTCTCTTACATCAATGAAACAAACGAATCGATATTGATGAAATCCATAGTTTGTGCTACACAGTTCACAAGTTGGGACAAATGCAGAATGTCATGTATCCACTAACAGTATCACACAACGTGGTAGTTCTTGGCGCTGAAAACCCCGTCTTCCGCCTATTCACAACCCCTGGCAACCACTGAGTTTTCAGTTTTACGTCTTCCAGAATATCATAGGGTTGGAACCATGCAGTAGGTTGACTTTCATCTGGCTTTTTGCACTTAGACGCATGTAAGTTTCCTCCATGTTCATTCATGGTTCCATAGCTCAGTTTCTTTCTTTCTACCACTGAATAATAGTCCCTCGTCTGGATGGACCACAGTTTCTTTATGCATCACCACTGAAGGGCATCTTGCTGGCTTCCAAGTTTTGGCAATGATGAATGAAGCTGCTAGCAACATTCCTGTGCAGGTTTTTGTGTACACATACATTTTTGGTTTAGTTGGGTAAATAGCTTGGAGCAGGATTGCGGGATTGAATGATAACACTGTTTAGCTTTGTAAGGCGACGCCCACCTGTCTTCCCAAGTGGCCAGAGCACTTTGCATTCCCACTAGCACTGTGTGAACACTCTCGCTGCTGGCTGTTAGCACTTGGTGTTGTCGTGAAAGATACTGTTACGTTTTAATAGATGCGTAGTGGTACTTTGTTTTAATGTGCAATTTCCTAGCGGTATACAAAGTTTGGCATCGTTTCATATGCTTACTTGCCACTTGTATATTTTTAGTGTTGTGTTTTTTCATATCTTTTGCTCACTTTAAAATTTCATTATTTTCACCTGGGCAGTATGGTTCAGTGGTTGAGCATTGACCCATGCACCAAGAGGTTACCAGTTTGATTCCCGGTCAGGGCACATGCCCAGGTTGTGGGCCCGATCCCCAGTGGGGGGTGTGCAGGAGGCGGCCAGTCGATGTTCTCTCTCATCGATGTTTCTCTCTCTCTCTCCCTAACCCTCCCTCTCTCTCTAAAATCAATAAAAAAAGAAGTGAAATTTCATTATTTTCTCTTCTTATTTATTTATTTATTTGGTTAGTCCTCACCTGACGATATTTTTTCCATTAATTCTTAGAGAGAGTGGAAGGGAGAGAGAGAGAGAAACATCAATGTGAGAGAGACACATCAATTGGTTGCCTCCTGCACGACCCTGATCTACGGGGGCCTGAGGATTAACCTTGTAACCCAGGTACATGTCTTTGACCAGGAATCAAACCCTCGACCCTTTGGTCTGCAGGCCGACATTCCAACCACTGAGCCACACTGGCCAGAGCAAATTTTATTATTTTCTTACTGTTGAGCTTTAAGAGTTCTTTGTATATTTTGGACACAATCCTTTATCAGATAAGGATTTTGCAAATGTTTTTCTCCCAGTCTTTGGCTGGTCTTTTCATTCTCTTAACAGTGTCTTTTGCAGAGCAGACATTTTTAATTTTAACCAAGTCCAACTTATCAAAAAATTTTGTTTCATCTATCATGCTTTTGATGTTGTGTTTAAAAACCTATTGCTAAATTCAAGGTCATCTAGATTTTTCTCCTATGTTATCTTCTAGTTTTATACTTTTGCTTTTTATATTTTTTAAAAGAACTTAAAAATTTTTTTTAATTTATTGATTTGAGGGGGGGGAGAATACCAATTTGTTGTTCCACTTATTTATACATTAATTGGTTGCTTCTTGTATGTGCCCGAAACTGGCATATTGAGATCATGCTCTAACCAACTGAACTACCTGTCCAGGGCTGCTTTGTACATTTTGAGTTAATTTTTGTGAAAAGTGTAAGGTCTGTGGCTAGATTTTTTTTTTGCATATGGATATCCAATTTTTTAGTACCATTTGTTTAAAAAGATATTCTTTATTAGTTGAATATATTTGTGTGGGCTCCTCCTGTCTTAAAAGCATTTTATTTTTTTATTGATTTTTAGAGAGAGAGGGAGTGAGAGAGAAACATCCACGAGAGAGAACATTGATTGGCTGCCTCCTGCACGCCCCCCACTGAAAATCGGGCCCACAACCTGGGCATGTGTCCTGACCCAGTAATCGAACCGGTGACCTCTTGGTGCAGGGTCGACGCTCAACCTCTGAGCCACACTGGCAGGACACCAGGTGGTTTTAGGCAAGTGAACCAGCCACCCACAGCCTCTCGAGTTCCCTGCACAGTGGGGACACGACTCTTCTTCCTCCTACAAAGTGACTTGCTTGTCTGGAGAAACATAAGAGAGCAGGCTCCTCCTGTCTTGTAATTAAAATTTTGGCTAGTGCCCTGGCTGGTTTGGCTCAGCGGTTAGAGCGCTGACCTGTGGTCCAGAGAGACCCAGGTTCGGTTCCTACTAAGGGCACGGACCTTGGTTGCGGTTTGTCCCCGGCCCTGGTTGGGTTGTGCAGGAGGCAGCCACTCGATGTGTCCCTTTCACATCGATGTTTCTCTCTCTCTCTCTCTCCTTTCCAATCTGTCTGAACAGAAAATGGAAAAATGTCCTTGGGTGAGAATTTAACAAAAAAAATTTTGGCTACTGTTGGGGGTGGGGAATACTAATGATGTTGGTTGCAAGCTGATTCTTGTATTCCAGCTCCCTCCAGTCAGCAATCAAAACTAATTGTTTAAAACATAGATATTGTGCAGCATATACTGTGGAAATCATTGCTGCCCAGAGCTCAGGTTAACTGTTATCAGAAGGCCCTGGTCCCTTTCCTCCTCCACCTATTTCCCTTGTTTTCTCCCACTTTATAGGACTGCAGTCTGGAAAAGTCTGCAAAACAGATAAAATAAAATAGGCTCATTTACCACCCCCCTAGCATTTCCGAAAGAGGTATTTGGGCGATATTATGATAAACAGAGGGGATCTCTTTTCCTGCCTGAAGTCTCAGTAAATTACGGGGGGGGAGGGGCTGGAGGAGGGGCGGAGCTTTCTATAAATCTGTGATAAAAGCAGTACACTCCTAATCTGCAAGAAGACCAGTGAGATTATAGGGACATTATCAAACAGGCAGGAAAGAGGGCTTCTGAGCTCACGTGCCTTCTTAGGTACCGAAAACAGCTGTAGTTTGCAGTGACGATTTCCATCACTTTCCCATACTTTAAATGATTGGCATCTGCCAAGTAATCAAAACATACAAAGAGGCCTTTAAACCAAGTTCAGTTCGGAATTTCCAAGCCGCTAACGACAAGCAGGGCTGGCAAGCCAAGAGAGCCAGTTTTTCTGCGCAGCTACTCGAGAGTGTGCGGTAGCCGAGGGCCGCGTCCGGGTAAAGCCGAAAGCTGTATTGCTGTCAACTTGTTATTTACTTTCCAAATCTGAATGACTGAGCAAGGCGAAAGGAGAATCAATCAACCACAATGTGACCCTACAGGCGGAAAAAACGCAGCGCTGCCTTCAGCAAGCGGTGGGGGAAGGGAAGCACGTGTAACCCGGGCAGGGTTGCATCATGAGCTCGCTCGGGTTTTCTATCGCACCCTCGGTTTTTCGGTTGCATGCAATACCTCAGCATCAGCCCGCTCGAGCCCAGGGAGCCCCGGAGCAACGAAGGGCAGGCTCAAGGGGAGGCCCCACCACGTCCTTTTGGGGGGCCTTGAATGGCAACTGACACATAATAAGACACAATCTATTCTGCTGATTCACAAGTATGGAGACTGTGTAAGTGTGGATTTTTTATTGATGTGCTCTATGATAATGGTGTAGCAACCGTCGTTTTACATCATTGACGTTGTACAGCAATATTTGGCAGGGTAATTTTTAGGTCCGCCTTTGTGATGGAGGACCAGCCCCTTAAAAACTCACCTCGGGTCCCCTCCCCCCCAGCCACCAGAACAACAAATGGTCCAGTGTCCCAGAAAAGAGCAAGTGAGGTTACAGTTTGAAATGCTGAGTGTAGCTCATTATACACCAAAGGGAGGGGCCAAGTTACTTAAAATATTCAACGAAGCCAACGCCGAAGGTGCAGGGGGTGGGCGCGGATATCTGTTTAATTGAATTAAGGCCGCGAGGGGTGGGTAGTTGACACGCACTGGAGGGGAGAAAGGGACGCTTGGGACTTGGGTGCTCTAGGGCTGGGCCGTGAGCCGTAGCAACCTGAAACACTTTGGAAATGCCCGAGGTCTGAAACCCATGGGTGGGGGTGGGGATAAGGGTAAGGGAAAGTTTCCCCCCAACCTCCGGAGCCCCCACACCCCAGCTCCTGGCCTCTGCCCCTGTGTGTCAGTTTCCCTCCCCCCAAGCATATCTGGCTCTTCCCAGGAGGTGTTTTGCAAAGGTCGAGCCCCCCCTCTTTTGGAGGAGGGGGAGAGACCATTGGAGGGTCCTCTAAGCCGCCGGTTTTGAGGGCCGCGCCCCTTGGGGCAGGTTGCAGGGGGTTCTGTTAGGGCAGCTGGGCGGCTTCTTCTTTGAGATGGGGGAGGGTAACATTCAGGGATCGGCCCGCGTCCCCGCTCCTATGAAAACCTTAGGGGTTGTGGCCCGGGTTCCGGTCCCCTCCGGGGCAGTGGGGGAAAGGCTGGGTTTGGGACTGGGTGGGGTAGGTCCGCGTACCCTTCCTCCCCCCACCCCTATGGCCACGGGAAGGGACAGGGTTCAGAGCAAGTAGGGAGAGGTCCGTTTCCCCTCACCCACCCTAGACATGGGGGGCAGGGGAGAGCTTGGGGTGAGGGACTGTGCAGGGTCGCAGGTTTCCCTACAGTGGAGAAGGGCTGGAGTGGGACGCGGGTCATCCTTAGAGGCCTTGGGGGAGGGGCCGTGCTGGGGCGCGGACTCTGGTCCTGGTCGCTGTGGGGGAGGGGCAGGCCTGGGTCCCTATCCCCGTGGGGGAGGGGCTGGTTGGGACGCGGCCCCCCAGGGCGCAGGGAGGGGCCGATGTGGACGCGGGGAGGGAGTGGGGGCCTGGGGGGAGGGGCGGCGGAGGCGGCCCCTCTGGCAGTCCTCCCGGCCGGGGTCGGCGCTCTGGCGGCGGCCGCTCCCCCCGGAGGTCACTGCCCGTGCCGGTCCCTCCCGCCGTCCCGCCCTCCGCTGCCGCCGCCGCTCCCGCCCCGGCCCCCCCACTCTCCGCGCTTGGGAGCGAGGAGCCGCCAGCGCCCCCGCCCGCCGCCGCAGCGCCCTCGGCCGCCATTCGGCACCGAAACTTTCCAGCGCCCGCGCCTCTCGGGACTCGGCGGCGGGCGGGGGCGGCCCGGGGGCGGCGCGCGGCTGCTCCGGGGCGCCGGGCCCTCCTCGGCCGCGGCTCGGCCCGGCAGCGACGGCCGGCCGGAGGGAGGCGAGGCTCGGCGGCGCCCCACAAGTTGCTCCGCCGGCGGCGAGGTGAGTGCGCGGGGCCCGGCTGGCGGGAGGGCGCGGGGCGGGGGCGCAAACTTCTCGGGCGGTGGGCCCGGCCGGCAGCTCGGGGCGCCCGCACGCTCCGCCCGCCGCCGGGGCTCCGCAGGGGCAGGTCCCCAACTGTCCCCGGGGCTCGGGCTGGGGTGCGGCGCGCTCCCTGTAGGCTGAACAATACCCCGATGTGGCCGCTCCCCAAAGTGCCAGCGCGTGGTGCGCGGGCGGAGCCCGGGGGGGCTCCTTTGTTTTGGGGAGGGGGAGGCGGCCGGTAAGTTTGGGGAGGCGCTGGATCTGCCCCCCGGCCCCCTTTGTTTGCCGCCCCTGGGGCTGGTGGGCGAATCTGCGACGCCGCGGGCTCCCCCATGGGGGAGGGGAGCCCCATTCATCCCCGGGCGCGGACCGGCCCGCCCCGGACGGGGGGAGGCCCCGCGGCCGCTCTGTGTCCGAGGCGCAGAAACTGTCAAGGAAGTCGGGAGCCCCCGGGCCCGAGCGAAGGGACCGGCCTGAGGATGACATCGGTGGGTGGGGGGCGCCCCTGTTCTGGTGCGGCCTGGGAGGGTGTAAACCTGTTGCTCGCGGGCTCGGGGAAGGGGTGACCTCAGATCCGCCTCTCGGGCCCTACTCCGCAGGGGACTTTTCCCACTGGGGGGGGGGGTCAGTGCTCGGACGGTGGGGAGCGCGTTTTCGGGTGTCGCCGTCCGTGGGCTATGTGACAATTTGGGGTCACTGGACGCCCGCCTGCGCTGGGATGGGGCCTGGGTTTCAGGTGCGCCTCCTGTAAGCGGTCAGGCGCGGGACCCCGCTCGCTCCCTGCATGGCGAGGCGTTGTCCCATCCAAGTGCACCGGAAATCCCACAAAGTTAGAGTCGTGGGTGCCTTTCTCCCCAGTCGGTGATGTGGTGGCCAAACCCCCAAAGAAGCAAAAACCCAGCCCCTGTTGCATCTGCAACTGTCCTTGCTTTGCATGGTTACATGGGGCTTGACCTGACCAATGGATGGTTCTCTCTCTCCACCCACCGCCCTGGTCCCAGGTTAACCCGGAGGCGGAGGGGCGGGGCTCCAGACCCAGAAGGAGCCGGGCGCTGGGCTAAGGTCCCCAGCAGAGGCTCACCTCGGGGTACACATGGCTGTGACAGTTTTATTAAAAGTTTACAGTTAGTCACTCCTAGAAGACACTAGGGGGAAAAAAATAAAAAAGAACGTTGAGTATGAACTAATTAAGACCTTAAGATGATGTTTTTATTGTAAAGGACGTTAATGTGTCGAATGTGCTGCAGATTTTGGTGGAAAACCACCCAGCTGGATAACTAATCCAGGGATAAAAGTTGAAGTTCATTACTTGACCCACTCATTAACAGGGCCCCTCAAGGGCATGGATGGCAGCGCTTAAGTCTAGACACACCTGTGGGACAGAAATGGAGATTTTGGGGTTTTATTTGGTGGTGTGCACTTTGCCCCCTTCGTGGGCTCGGGGGTTTCTGCTCTATCAGTAGCGTTGAAGAAGAAGTAATAACACTGATAGTCGCCTTATGGAGATAACTAAAAGTGGACGTTTCAGAATTCGGGGTCTTTTCATCAGTTGTATGGGTAGCGTCCCTCCTCTTTACTACGGCTGGGTAAATATATTCATCTAACAATGTACCCAGGTACTCTGCTAGGTCTAGACGACACCAGCAAAAAGGCTGGCCCGCTTAGGGGACAGTGGGACATGGGAAGGGGTCCACGTGCCAGTAGTTGCATTACGTGTCACCGGGTCCTCTAGGGTTGGCTCTGTGCTTTTATCCAGGGCTTGGTCGGCCCAGGTGTTATCAACACCCCCACTTCAGTTTACACGTGGATTCTTAAATCTCCCAAACCTGGTCCCTCCTGAAAGTTCTGGCGTTGGGGTAGGGATAGTGCCAGGTGTCCGTGTTGGTTGGTCTCACGTCTCAGCCTGTGGGAGTTTCTGTTTTCTCACCTGTGTGATGGCATCTTGTGTTAGCCCCAGGGATGTTGTGAGAGCCGCCGGTCCATAGTGACAGGTGTCCCTTGGCGGGTCCTCCCTCACTGGGCCTGAACTACCACCAGGACCTGCTCCAGCATTGACCTTGGAGGCATGCGCATTGTGAGCATCATTTTCCACTTGTGTGAGAACATAAAGGGGAACGGAAATTGAGGTGCTCACTGGACAGTGTGAGGAGGGCAAGAGCATGTATGTGTTACGTTTTGCAAAGCTATCAGTGCCTCTACATTTTTTTTATGTTAAGAAATTTTTAATTTTAGCCCTGGCCGGTTTTGCACAGCGGTTAGAGCGTTGGCCTGCGGTCCAAAGAGACCCAGGTTCAGTTCCTGCTAAGGGCATGTACCTCGGTTGCAGTTTGTCCCCGGCCCTGGTTGGTCGTGCGGGTGGCAGCCACTCGATGTGTCCCTTTCATGTCGATGTTTCTCTCTCTCTCTCCCCCTCCCGCTCTATCTGAACAAAAAATGGAAAAATGTCCTTGCGTGAGGATTAAAAAAATATATATATATTTTTAATTTTAAGCCCGGCCGGCATGGCTCAGTGATGGAGCGTCGACCCATGCACCAAGAGGTCACCGGTTCCATTCCTGGTCAGGGCACATGCCCAGGTTGTGGGCCCAATCCCCAGTGGGGGGCATGCAGGAGGCGGCCAGTTGATGTTCTCTCTCATCGATGTTTCTCTCTCTCTTCCTCTCCCTCTAAGTAATAAAGAAAAACATTTTTAAAATTTTTAAATTTTATTCTAGCTTTTATTTTTCTTTATTTTTATTAACTCTCATCTGAGGATCTTTTTTCCATTGATTGTTTTGAGAGAGTAAAAAGGAGGAAGGAGGGGGAGAGAGAAACATTGATATGAGAGAGAAACATTGATTGGTTGAGTCCCGCACACGCCCCAACAGGCGCCGGGAATTGAACCTGCAACCCAGGTAGAGGCCCTTGACTGGAAATTGAACCCAGGACACTTCAGTGTTCAGACCGACGCTCTAACCACTGAGCAGCACCAGCGAGGACCATTTTAACATTTTAAAATAGCTAAATGGAGTCATGCATCTATATTACAGTTCATTTTCTACTTACTGTTTATTCTTTACCTGAGGATATTTTTCTATTTATCATTAGATAGAGTAGGAGGGAGGGGAGGTGAGAGAGAGAGAGAGAAACATTGATGTGATAGAATCACATCGACTGGTTGCCTTCTGCATGACCTGACCAGGGCTGAACCGCAACTGAAGTATGTGCCCTTGACAGGAATCGAACCCAAGACTCATTTGTCCACAGGCCGATGCTCTAACTGCTGAGCCAAATCTGCCTGGGCTACTTACTGTTTTGTTTTGTTT